TAATACGATTCGCAGGTTGAAGTGCACGTACGATAATGTGGTAACAATCTTATATCACAATCATTCTGTAAATACTGTGATTGAAAACGTTATCTGTGCTACTATTAATTTCTGCACACGACAAACTGCGTAGTCTTTCGCAATCTTTGATCTTTTATTTCAAAGTCGCGTCTAAAAAACTATATTTTATGGTATGAATACCATAACTGCACTTATACAGAGCAACATAACCCGCTATTTTGAAAAAAATCAGTGGGTTCATATGAGTGAATGTTTTATGGAAAATGTTCAAATCTTATCATAGTTTGGGTCATCTTAAATACTCAAGGGTAGCTTAGAACAAGTAAATGCTTCTTGTTTATTTGTTTACTCTAAATGCGATCATCGTTGCTGTTTGATCGCATTAGTATCGATAGGAGAACGAGAACGATATTTAATAGCCTTCTTCAAAAATAAGAACAAAAAAGAGGAAAGAAATCTGGCCGAGTTGCGATTTCTCCAATTGTTCTAGATGTCCTACCTAAAGCTAGTGTAGATACTTTGTGTTCAAGGCGCCATAGAAGAAAGTTTAAGCGTGATATGTTCTCGGTAGGAGAAGAAAAGGAGATCTCGGGTGACAGCGACTCATACTTGTAAAGCACTGATTCAACTCTTTAACTATTCATTTCTTCTACTCCAAAACAATGTGATATAGCATTTCCAAAAACATGGCAACAGTTATATGCATGGAAATTTTTCCTTAGATTTATGGAACTATTAAAAGAATCTATACTTACACAATGTTCTATATCTCGCGCTCACGATAGTGTGAAGACCTCATTTGCGGCGCAAAATGCCCATGAAATCTGGAACTTATTTGCAATTGATTGATGGAGCCTCTACTGCTGGGAGAACTCCATATTAAAGGATCAAAACTTGTCGCTGTACCATACCTTAGAACTTCAAGAAAAGTAAGAAGAGAGGAGAAGAAGTTGTGATTTATCCTACTATACAGAACTTTAAACTATTAAGAATTAGAGTGAGGTAGAATTGAACATATTTGATTTTACTAATATTAGTAGGAAGCAAAATACAAGGAAAATATTATATAAAAAAATA